AGACTGCGGACGTACTACAGGAGATGACCAGAGCCTGCGGACGTAATGCAGGAGATGAGCAGAGCCTGCGGGGATGTACTACAGGAGAAGACCAGAGCCTGCGGACGTAGTACAGGAGATGGCCAGAGCCTGCGGACGTAGTACAGGAGATGTCCGGAGCCTGCGGATATAGTACAGGAGATGACCAGAGACTGCAGGGATGTAGTACAGGAGAAGACCAGAGCCTGCGGACGTACTACAGGAGATGGCCAGAGCCTGCGGACGTAGTACGGGAGATGGCCGGAGCCTGCGGACGTAGTACGGGAGATGGCCGGAGCCTGCGGACGTAGTACGGGAGATGGCCGGAGCCTGCGGACGTAGTACGGGAGATGGCCGGAGCCTGCGGACGTAGTACGGGAGATGGCCGGAGCCTGCGGACGTAGTACGGGAGATGGCCGGAGCCTGCGGACGTAGTAGCGGGAGATGGCCGGAGCCTGCGGACGTAGTACGGGAGATGGCCGGAGCCTGCGGACGTAGTACGGGAGATGGCCGGAGCCTGCGGACGTAGTACGGGAGATGACCAGAGACTACGGACGTAGTACGGGAGGTGACCAGAGACTGCGGACGTAGTACAGGAGGTGACCATAGACTGCAGACCTTTGGAGAGCGGGTACCTGAATTTGACAGGTTCACACTTCCGCTGCATAGCCTCTCTCCCCGTAGTCTGGGACACGTGACAGGTCATTCACACGGGGCCATTTACAAAGAGCAGTGCTTCTTGCCGCGCATGCACAGGGGGCACCCAGTTGTGAAGCCGCAAGCTGTCACAGCCGGGTGCCCACACTAAAGGTGATAACACCGCTGGACCAAGGAACAGGTAGGACCGAGGAGCAGGTTCTGCTGCACAGAAGACCTGAGCGGCTGGCCTGGTATTCTAATGCGGCGACGGGGGGGGGGGGGGGGGAGGGATACTGAGTCGGCTGCTCCATATTCGCTCCATAAGATGCACAGACATTTCCCCCCATTTTTGTGCATCTTATAGAGCGAAAAATACGGTATATTAGGAGTTTCCCAAAAACTGAATCAACTAAATAAACTTATATAATTTTCTCTAGCTAATAAAAACAATCACCTTTACTCAGTGTTGTAAAAGTGGGAGAAAAGACAGCTGTAAGACAAGTACCTTCACATGCCAAGGGAACCTTTGCTTGCAGATGGGACAGGTAGAGTCCCTGTCCTGTGCCTATCTCATGATGCAAAGATGGTAAAATTTCAGGTGAGTTTTGCATTCCCTTACAAGTCAATGGGAATGCAAAACGCTCTTAAGGGCTGGTTCACACTTGTGCAAATAAAAAATGCAAGTTAAAACTCACTTGTGTTTATCAGCATTTTTATGTGTGTGCACATTTTTCTAACGTTTTTTAACTGCTCATCCGGGCCATTATAAAATGATGGCCTGGTGGGAACCGTATTTTTCTGGGGGGACATCCTATGACATCCTCCCGCGAACTACGCTCTGGTGCGATCTGTCTCTGATGACTGATCAGTGTACCAGCCCGCTGCCGGTACCATTTAATTGCTGTGGCCAGTCACAGCAGATCACATGACAATTGTAAACAATGAATGGCTTTTATTCATGCCACTAATTGCGTAAAATTGTGTTGCTAGCTGTGATTGGTCTCAATGATCACTTGGTACAGATAGGGCCAATCATAGCCCACCTGTACCATGTGATTAGCTGTGGCCAATCACAGATAATCACAACAATACACACTGAATTAATCTATTTCATTCCCTAAAACTGAAATTCACTTCAACCAATCTTATAGCACAATACCACCTATAACAGTAACTACCACACCCTAAAAATTCACTGTTCACAGTGAAATTCACTGCTATAAGAAATCTTAGGATGTGTGTAAAAAAAATGAAACAAATTCCCGATCACCACTCCAGTGTAGTACAATGTAACTATGGTAACACTGTATTGCTCTGGTCACCGTATGTAAAAAAAAAAAATTAAAGAACACATTTTACATTTTTTTTTAAAAAGTTACTTTTTTTTTCTTCTAATTTTTACATACTGTCATCGGTCGGTGTCCCTGCTAACTGCCACACCAGTTATGTGATAACACTGTACTGCACTGCTGACAGTATGTAAAAAAAAAAAAAAATCTATTTTTTTTGTTTTTATTTTCTTTATTTAAAAAAAAAATGTGCCATGCCTCTTAGTAAATACCTTGGACTATCTGCTTTTTAAAAAGGGATCACTTAGGAGATATTGGTACTGTCCTGGCAATTTAGGGCCTCACAAAATGAGATGAGGCTGTCCGTACATCAGGATTGATAGATTTTCAGACATATCCCATAGTTTGTGGACTCTTAACTTTCCTACAGGTTAAGTAATGTAAACTGATTTTTCACTAAAGAAAAGTAGCAGAATACATTTTGGCTTAAATTTACAAAGAAAGGTTATTTCTTTTCAAAATGTTATGAGCGAAACAAAAACACTTTTTTTTTTTTTTCGAAAAGTTTGGCCTTTTTTCATTTATATAACAAAAATAAAGACCCCAGTGGTGATTTAAATACCACCATAAAAAAGCTCTGTTTGTATGAAGAAAAATGATAAAAAAGTGTTGCATGATCACACAACTACCATTCAAAGTGTGACAGTGCTGAATTCTGAGAATTGGCCTGGGCAGCAAGGGGGTAAAAGTGGTCGGTATTGAATTGGTTAAACTCCTATTGTGTTCAGCTTTTTTTTTTCTGTGTGTTTTCTGACTATTTTCTGTACCATCATTTCCTCTTCTCAAAAAATACTATAAACTCAGTATTAATGGACACAAACACAACACAACTTGCAAAATTCCTGCTAAATCTAAAAAATAAAGCTGTATTGAGTTAATAAATAAAGCTCTATATGTGAATGGGGTCTTGACGCTCACTCATGTGTGGCCTAATGGTGGCATTGCCATCATTGACAGAATGCCTGTATTTTTTTTTTCTCAGCAAAAACAAGGTGTTGTCTGAAGTAAGTGGGAAGGAAGCTTGGTTAAAAAAATACAAGGCATTCTGTAAATGTACAGTGCATTCATGAAGTATTCAGACTCCCTTCACGTTTTTCAATTTTGTCATGTTGCAGTCTGATCCTACAGTTGTTTAATTAATTGTTTTCCTCCTTAATCTACACTTCGTACCCCATGACAAAGTCAAAACAGAATTTTAGAAATGTCTGTCAATTTATTAAAAAGAAAAAACTGAAATATCACAAGTACTTAAGTATTCAAACTGTTTGCAACCACACTTGAAATTTTAGCTCAAGTGCCTCCCATTTCTCTTGATCGTTTTTGAGATGTTTCTACACCTTGATTGGAATCCACCTGTAGTAAATGAAACTGATTGGACATGATTTGGAAAGGGCTCACAGCGGATGATGCATACTGTAACAGAGCAAAAGCCAGGAAGGCAAAGGAACTACCTGCAGAGCTGAAAGACGGGATTACTGCAAGGCACAGATAAATTCTGCTGCTCTGAAGGTTCCCAAGAGCACAGTGGCCGCCTTAGTAAAAGAGGTCACCAAGAGCCCCATGGTCATTCTGAGCTCCAAAAATCCTGTGTGGAGATGGGACAAAGTTCCAGGAGGACAACCATCACCGCAGCCTTCCACCGATTTGGGCTTTATGGTAGAGTGGCGGCAGCTTCTCAGTGCAAAACACATAAAAGCCTGCTGAGAGTCTTTCCAGTGCCTTTTTGCAAACTCAAAGCAGGCTTTCATGTGTGATGATTGGCTTTGTGCAAGTGGGCTGCTAACCAATCAGGACTACTTAAAGCGGAGCTCCACCCAAAAGGGGAAGTTCTGCTCTAAAGACTGGCCCCTGCTTCCCACTAACGATTGGCACCTTTTGGGAAGTGGGTACCTGAAATTGACTTCACTGCGATTGGAAGCAAAAGTTGTCCTGCCTCCCTCCTTCCACGTAGTCTTCTGGGACACGTGACCGGTCCCAGAAGACTACGGGACCATTCAGAAAGAGCAGCGCTACTCGCACATGTGCAGTGGGCACCGGGCTGTAAAGCCGCAAGCTGTCGTAGCTGGGTCCCCACACTGAAGATGCTTGTGTCGTGAACACCGGACGGCTGATGAAACGGGCTGCAGGGAGGATACCGTGGGATCAAGGGACAGGAATGGCTGATCTTTAAAAGTCAGGCAGCTACAGTTTTTGTAGCTGCTGACTGTTATTTTTTCATAGTGTGACTGGAACTCCGCTTTAAAGTAGAACTGAAGGCAAAAGCTATTAATTTTTTTAGAGGAAAAGCCTCCAAAATAAGGGAACTCCTTGGTAGTTAGCATAAATAGTATCCGCATTGAATGTTTTGCCCTCTATTCTGGTCCTGGTGATCACTCAAAATATGGGATTTTTTTCCCCTACTTTCACGTAGAACAAATAGGGTAACTGTCCCTAACAGGGATATGAACAGCAGTAAAGACCTGACAGATGTTCTGATCCCTCTCCACTCCACCAATGCTTAAAAAAAAATGTTTGGCCTTTATCTCTACTTTAATGTTTTTTTTCTAGGTTATGCAACTTAAAAAACTGAGAACAGCTTGTTACTGTTGCTACTCAGTAACTATTAGAAGTACTGCAATGAACTAAGGAGCATTTTAAAGAACACTTTAATGATGCAAAAATTGTATAAAAGTGGTTGGTCTGTTGCAAGTCATGGCCTCTCCAAAGCACACTATTCTGCCTGTTCTTTTTTTTTTTTTTTTTTTTTTGCTTGCTTGAGTGCAGGGGGAATCTTTTTGAAGTTCTGGTGAAGTCTTCAGACTGCTTCAGTACCTTTGCCTTGCAGCAGCACCTAGAGGAAACATCTATAGAGCATAATATATGAAGTAGGCACCCCTGCAGAGCTAGCGGGAATTGTTGAGAAGACCAGGTACCCAGTGTAGAGGTTGACTTGAATGACTGGTCTCCTAAACAGAAAATGCTGCCTTATGGATAGCTCAGGCACTTTCCTCGTTCTTGTAGGAAAAAACGGCTTTACTAATTCTAAATTATTTTACTTACTCCAGTATCTGATATCACATCCTATTCTTTTTCTCTTCTAGGACTACTTTGAAAGTTACTTTTCCATTGCCAGTTCTGTACCGTCAGTGCCATGTCTTATGCTGAATTTCTTCCTGGTGAACAGGTAAAGATTGCCTTTACAGTTATCTAGCATCTATTTTGTTTGCTTTTGTAATAAAAATTCCCTCGTTAGGCGTTTAGCATTTTCCACAAATGATATTTGAACAGCAAGGAACGGCATGGAAAGGTCAAATTTACATATGCAATAGTTGAAAGCTATTTAGTGTGTTCTATGGGTATCTTCAGTAAATTTACTTAAGCTGGAGGGATGAGTGGCATATTTTGCTTCCATGATTTTGAAAGCATTATGGTTTGTGTTGGTGGACTGGATTTTTCATTTGTCTATAAATGTTAAATAAAAGAACAGAGCCTTACTTCTTATGAATCCCCGGAAGGATTAACAGAAAAATCCTTGATTGAGGTTCCTATATTTAGTTACATCTTGAAAAAAGATATTTCTAAGAATCTCATACCCCATTTCATATCTGTTGACATATTCTCAATTCTTCACTGTGGCATAGAGGCCTACCACAACTTTTTGGCACATTTGAAATTTAATATTGGCATTTAATTAATATGCTATCTCTGCAATATTCTGAGGCATGTCAGGTACAAGATGCTGCTCCATATATGTAATTTCCATATATATATATATATATATATATATATATATATATATATATATATATGAAATCTCCAGCATACCTAAAATATAGGGAAAGGGATTTGCAGAACACCATTCAGCAATAATCCCAAAGCTCTATTCTTCAACAGTTTACATTTTTTTTTTTTATCCTTGTTCTGCTAGGGAAATGTAGTTTAGGCTGTTAACACCTTCCTTGTTTAAATAAATCCTGTCACGTAAAAAATTGCTGGTAAAATAAAATAAATCCAGTATTCTGAATGCTTCCTTTTTTTACATATTTTCCTTACATTAACATTTTATTATTATTGAAAATTTGACTTTAGGGAGAGTCCATTCCTAGCACAGCCCTTCTCGCTTTGCAGTGAGAGTGTCTATTTATTCCCTGTGCTGGCCCATCTCCACTCAGCCCTCACTGACCTCAATAACCTTTTTGTTGTGGTGTTTTTTGTTTTTTTTTCTTTTTTTTTTTTGTAACTTCCAATGGAGGAGCAACTAGAGCATCACTTGAGTGACAGCTCTGACTCTGCTGGGACTGCTGACATCACATCTAGGATGGTGGTATCCAGCATCAGTCTCTGGCCTTTTGGATGTCTACGCAAGAGATACTTTTTCTGTTTAATATCATGCATAAAATCTGTTAAATGCCCTTTTAATCCCCTAGAAAGATTGCTGTTGAAATGAGTGACCTGATGGCAGGGATTCTTTATTGTACAAAGCATGCAACTTTAAAGGTAGAACATTCATGTAGATATCTTATATGATATGTACAAAGGAAGACCGCAAAGCATTATGAAAGAAGAAAGCACCTTGATTATACTACACTAAGCACCTGTAATGTATACTAAGAAGCAAAGAAACTTGGACCCCATCCACAGTTGTAAGCAGGTCTGCATGAGAACAAGAAGCGTGTTAGTCTACTTTGTTGGTACCGACCTATTACTTCTATTGTACTTATCAGCTTGGATCCATGACTACAGCTGTCAGGAAAAACTACAGATCTTGTAATTTTACAGCTGGGCACATGTTCAGCAATGGGAGAGCAGTTAGGTTATAGACAGGATGAGAGGGGCTACAGTAATTGAATGACTTTACCTTGTATCAAGAACATGGGCCAGTTGTGCACTCCCAACTAAAGACTTAATGCAATGTCTAAATTACCTGTTTTAAGGGTATTCTAGATTTCCTCCAGATTGGCCAATACCATCACGTATCTTAAAGAGTCAGTTGCTGATTCTACTTTTAGGATCCAATGGCAATTTGGACATTTCACATGATCTTTGTTGAGGGGTTTGCTGTTGAAGTCCAGCCAGTCTGATCTTCCCCTTCATCCAAGATTGCATGACCAATGATTAATTGCCATGGAATCATATAGGGGTGCATACTAAAGGCCAATGTAAGTATTTCAGGGCTTCTGCTACCTTTTTATGACTGACTGAAAGGGAATGGTGAGGGCCAGGCAATATATGTGCTAGCAAAGGGCTTTTTTTTTCTATGGGTCTGCCTTATATAAAACCCCATAGTGTATAAGAGTTGTGAATAGGTAAGTTCAGAGATAAAAAAAAAAACCTTTCTGCCATCGTTGGACTGCCACTGCTAGAATTTATGAGGCCACTATTTCAATATCGCTAGTTTGGAGCTGCAGAAGATCTTAATAGTTGAGATGTTTATCGGCAAATTATACACAGTGACCATCAGCTTTTCATCTTCTATTGTTAACGGTGTTTATTTTCCTTCCTAGTTACCATCCCATCTACTCCAGTATCTCTGATAAGCATACAGGCAGAATCTATAAGTTTGCAACCAGTTCAGACAGCTAATTATCTGCAGGCACAGGGAAAGTTCTCAGACCTCTTTCTGCATTCCGCGGACAGAGGTTATTAGCATCTCGCTAATGTCACCAGTATATGTGCTGTTAAGGCTGAAAATAAATATCCATACCTTCTGGAGGATGAGTTGGTAAAAATAACAGGCAGTAATATAGTCCTAGCAGAATAGCAGTTTATGATTGGGGCTAAACTTTTTCATCACCTAGAAATAAAAACAACATTAACAAGGATCTTTACGTATTTTACCTGGTATAATGGCTGTCACAGAAATGATGGGTAGTGTCATTTTATGCTGAGGCACATACTGACTCACAAACATGTGCTAGCGGGTTAAATCTTTGTTTATATAACCATGATTCTGGCCACATAAGCAGAGCAGGAGCAGAATAGTCTGTCCATATGTATTCTTTTCTTTTTTTTTCTTTTCATAAATGAGGAACTACTTGTACTCTGTGCAAAGTACAAATACAATTACACCAACGTGTTGGTGGGGCACATCCCACCTTTCTCATATATATATATGTATATATGTATATATGTGTGTGTATATATATATATATATATATATATATATATATATTATTTGTGGTATAGTACAGTATATGAGTCCTATATGTTAAAATCTTGTTCTGATCACTACATGGTACATCCCCCTTGTTCTTGAGGCCCACCAGCTGTGCACTTTTCATGTATACCAGGTAGGACATAGGTGCATGTTACAATCTAATCACTGGGTACATTGTTTATTCTGATTTGTGTGGTGGGGTCTTTTTAAGTGATTTACGGTATTTTTTTTCACATGGTAGTTAATTGAAACCTAGCCACTAAGGCTCCCAGGACTTGTAGGCACTAATTCACAGAACGTCTATGTTCAAATCTGACAGATAGTACGGGCAAACTTCTCCCTGTACTATCTGTTGGGGGGGTTGGGGGCTTTTGCAGCTATGGGAACATGTTACATGTACCACCCTAAAAATGGATGGAACATGTAAAATGTTCCCAAAGGTGAACTTGCCCTTTAAAGTAAAGAAGAAACTTTCTTTATCTTCCCTGCATGAGCCAAATTCTCTTTCATTTGTGTCTCACATACGCCCCTTCCCATCCACTGCAGCTTACAGTGGGAGGATTTCAGCAACAAAGACAATCTAGAAAGTTGTGGGCAGGACTATGTGTGACCAGGTGCTAAATAAAGAGCTACAGGCTCTTTATCTCACCACAAGTTTGCACAACCTACATGAGAGTGGCAACTTTGCTTTGAATTTTGGTGCCGTGCAGCATCATTGCCACACCATAACAGGAAGGTGCATTAAATGGACTTCACTGGCCGGTTCAACAGGTACTTGTGGGAATTTGCAAGTGAACTAAGGGTGCACACTCACTTCAGGACAAGTTTAAGTTAACAGTGCCTGAGTTCACTGGCCCCCCACTCCCCCACTGGTCTGCACTTACACTAGATTTTAACCAGGTTTCCCAGGCACACTTACATCATCACCCCTACTAACCAAACCAGTGATCCCTGCTTCTGTGGACAGTCTTTAATGGAAATTTCTGTACTCTGGCACAGATTGCACACACATTGCAGCAAACCATTCCAAACCACAATCACACCTTGAACCTCCTCTTCTAGGTGGTTTCAAGCGCAGTATGCTTAACCCATCTCGGGCGCAGTTTGGAGCACTCACACTACACAAACGAACTGGCCAAAGGAGCTGAACCATGTTCAAAGTGCCATTGTGAGTGTGCCCTAAGGTCCCTTACCCATGGGGTATATCCTGTTCTGATCAGAAGGTGATCTGTTCGCTGATCAGAGAAGAGCGGGCAAGTGATCTATTCGTGCCTGCTCAGTTTCTGCTCTGTGAGTGCCTGGGAGTAAACAGACTTTGCTGTCCATGGCTACCTCCTCTCTGCTCCACCTAAACAGAAGAGGGCAGAGTCCTCTCTTTCTTTTTTTTTTTTTTTTTTTTTTTTTTTTTTTCTCCTTTTTTTTAGCAGGCCTGATTGGACCCGGAGGTAGTGGGTATAAACAGACACAAGTCCATTTACACCTGCCTGTTCATAGGGGTGAATGGACCTTCCAGTCAGGTCTGCCTGAAAAACTTACCAGTGGACCTGATCGAAATGCCCATCTGAAAGGAGCCTAAGAGAAAACTTTAAGGGCTAGTTTACACTCACGATTGGAAACGGTAAAACCCTGTGGTTGAACTGTGTTTTTGCCAGCCTCATCCGCATCCCCTTTTGCTTAAGGAGCAGTGTCCAGGGATGATCTTTCTCCAGAAACCAAAGCAGATGTAAACAAACCCTAAGTGCAGATGCACTTTTAATTAACTGATGCAGCATGCAGTTTTTTTTTTTTCATTTTTTTTAATGGATGTCGAAAGAAGACACATTTTGTATGACAATGGAGGATAAAAGTGTATTACATTTTGTTGTATTCTTGTCTTATGTAATCCATACTCTTGCTTAGACTCCACTATATATTTATCATTTCTGTTTGTCAATATGTTCTTCTTTTCTTTTTGTTTTCAGGCTTTCTTCTCAGGTGCGAATATTGTCATCACTACTTGTCATGTTACTTGTTTTTATCCTGGTCACAGTGCTGGTGAAAGTAGACACCTCCACCTGGACTATGGAATTCTTCGCTCTTTCATTGGTGTGCGTAGCTATTCTTAGTGGAGCATCAAACGTCCTTACAGCTAGTGTTTTCGGTGTCACTGGACGCTTTCCATTGCAACACTCCCAGTCCTTAATATCAGGTAACTGCACATTTTGGGATGTCATTAAATTAATTTGTTTGTACAACAAATTTGGGGTTACCATTATTCAATAATCTGTAAAAATTGACAAGGCAGTGTTTCCCCTCCCTTCCACACAAACACACTGCAAGGGTTAATGACTTGGTTTGTCTAGAGGGTATAGATTAGATGAAATACCTACCTATTTCTTACTTTTTTTCCAAAATTTGCTTTAGCCAAAACCATTTTGTTTGTCCTGTTTTGGGTAGAGCAGGGAGGAATTTACACCTATGTGAGTTTATTTTTCACTATTTGTTTGCTGTTGGGGGAATTCCCCTCATTGTACTGTAAATCACTGGACCTATCATCACATTTTAGCGCCTTGAGCGGTATTACAAGTGGTTACAGGGTATCCTGAGGACCAGATCAGAAAACTTTATGAATGACGCCTTAGGGTTATCACGCATTTTATCTGTGTGCATTGATATGCTCCATACTTAGCAACTGACCACCAGCATTCCAGCAAATTTTCCAGAAGGAGAGGTTCTACAACAGTGGTGGTCAAATTTCATCATATCTGGTACCTCAAGTGTGGCCACTAACATCAGTAAAGACCACACATAACATTTAATGAATATTCTCTTTCAAAGACAACAGACACACAACAGGATATTGTCAAAGACTATGGGCATGATACAAGAGCTGGCCAGAAACTGAGGAAAGAATACAAGAGATGGTCAGAGACTGTGTGCATGGTAGAGGATATGGTAGAGATTGAGGACATGATGCAAGAGATGGTCAGGGACTGTGAACAAGCTGCAAGAGACTGTCAGAGACTGTGAACATGGTAGAGGATATTGTAGAGACTGCAGACATAATACAAGAGATGGTCGGTGACTGTGAGCATGTGAGCATTTGGGTTTTTAGAGACTGGGGACATGCTTCAGGAGACAGTCATAGAATAAGATTTATTACATGAGACCGCTAGAAATCACTGCTATAACAGAGCAATAGGCAAACACAGATTAGTGTCTGCAGGGGCCCAGAGGGCTGCACAAAAAGTGGCAAAGGGGGGCAGCGCTTGTTGATGGTCGCTAGATGATTGCACTCCTCCACTGACAGGCACATCAGCGATTACCCAGCCTCCTGGAGAGCCCTGTACTGTCCTCTGCCGCTGCCCCCATCCTCTGTCGACCCCGCTGCTGCACATGGGGATGAAAATGGCAGCCTCCAGTGCCAGAACAACGGACCTCTCCGGTCCTGCGGCCTACTCTCAGGCACTCCTGTCGGGAGCCCCAGCCTCAATTTTGGCTGCTTCCTCCTCCCAGGTGACCTGGATGCTTGAGAGCCTTCTGTACATCCCTCCAGACCATCCACAGCACACCTTGCGGGATGCAGACCTCCTGGCCAGGTTCAAGACTATGCTGCAGCAAGAACTCACTAAGCCACCTCTAGACTGGCCACCCATCTCACTAAGGAGATCCGAGATTTAGGCAATCGCACTAACGCTGTTGAAGATAGATAAGATGGACGCTGCGGTCGGGATAATCTGCATCTGCATGGCTTGCCTGAAACCATCATAGACTTCACGTCCACTGCCACCGTACTTTCCAGGAGTTGGAGCCAACGATACCGATGGACCGCCTGGAGTTCAATCTCATCCACCAGGCCCTGGGGCCGAAGAAGTCTAAGGGTCATCATTACTCCCCCCCCCCCCCTTTTTTTTTTTTTCTTTTCTTTTTTCTTTCTCTTTCCTCAGATATACCACCCCCTCCTGACCAGATTCTCCTGCCAATTGATTTTTTGTTAGCCCCTGGTATGTGGGGGACATGTGGCCTTTAGATTGTGATGTATGTGGTGTTATGTTACATGTCAGTGGCTTTCCTGTCTTGCAGTTATGTAACGTGTATTGTTGCTGTTGGTTTCTCAGTTTATTGGGCCTGTAACCCGGGAATGCTTCCTTCTATGTCGTGATGGTCTGTTTATACTTGTTGTTTAATTTTTTTTTTTTTTTTTAAGTATTTGTGCACTGAATTGCCATAAGATGCATTATTTGTGGCTTTATACTATTTGCATACAGCCATATGGCCTACCTTCTATGTCTAGTCCAGCCCCCTATGAGTGTCCTTGCAGTTGGGATGCGATTTCCACTGATTTGTGGTTCCGTTACACTCTTTTACAGTATATATACTTTTCCTCGGTTTCTTTTTTCTTTCCTGTTTTCTCTTTTTTTTTTTCTTTCATGGATCCAGAGCTGCCCAAGGGCACCTGTACATTAGAGGTTTGGACCGTTGTCCCTAGCTTATCTCAGCAGCTAAACCCCCCTGACTTAGTATGGCTACAAAACCCTTGAAGATTTTCTCTCAAAACATTTATGGCTTCAACTCTGACCAGACGATCTAAGGTGTTTCATCATCTCAAGTCCCAAGATGTGCACATAGTCTGCTTGCAGGAGTCTAGATTTTCCCAATCTTTCGTACCACAATACCTCTCCCCTCATTGTCTGACCTTTTTCTCTGCTCCCACTCCTGAGAAACATAGGGGAGTGATGATTGCCTTTAGACGCAACTTGTTTTTCTTGCAACCTGGAAATAGCCTACCCCATTGGCAGGTGCCTGCTCTTACGGGGTACCCTCTGGGACCATGAAGTGACTCTGGTAGGCTACTACGCGCCAAACAGGTTCCAACACAAATTATTTTCTCATTGCTGAAAGTGATCTCGCAATATCTGCATGGTATCCTTCTTTAGATGGGCAACTCTAATATTTCTCCTAATTCTTCTATTGATTGCCGTTATCCTACTGGAGTGATCCCTTCTCCTGATATCTCCCAGGAGTCCAAGTTATGCACTACATTGCAGACCTATGGTTTGGCAGATGTTTGGCGGGAACTACATCCCACCTCACGGGATACACTTTTTATTCAGCTCCACCTCAAAGCTTCTGTAGAATAGATCATGTATTTATTTCCTTGCGTCATTTTTATTTTTAATACATAAGATTACCTTCCCGACTTTGCCTTGGTCCTTATGTTTTCCTACTGCACCTAACTGGCATGTCCCGGCCCTCTTACCAATGTAGATTAAATGAATCCCTTATCTCTACTCAGGCTTCATATTCCCAGGTACTTTCGCACATACAATTTTACCTTGAGAACAACATGGGATCCGTATCTTCATCTGTTTCCTTAGAAGGCCCACAAAGTCACGGGTCATTTGATCCAAATCGCATCCTCTAGAGAACGCACCAGAGAAAACAGGATGCTAGACCTGACCTCTTTTGGCCTCAGTGGATGGAACTTGGAAAACTCACCCTACTGCAGCCAATCGGAAAGCCAGAGCTACCGTAGCTACCGAACTCTATCTTCTTTCTAATACGCAGGCTGAGAAAGCCTTACATTGGGCCGGACATAGGTTTTATACATGTGTCAATAAACCGGGGCCAATGTCGACCAGGAAACTTAATTGATGGGCTGTTCAACTTCGAGTACGAAGTGGTGGCCTTACATCTGACCCGGTGAAGATCACGCATAGATTTCCAGATTTTTTTTTGTCTTCCCTATACGAGAAACCTAATGCCTTTATTACAGAACATGCTGAGTTTTTTTGCTGACTTTCGCCTACCCTCCTTTTCTGTTGCAGCCCATGATGCCCTGAACATGGACATTTCTGAAACTGAAATTTATCAAGTTATCAAATCCTTGAAGCCCTCCAGGGCTTCGGCCTCTGTCAAGTACGCTGGTTCTTTCTCCTCTCCCTTCCCGATATCTTGGGGCACAACACAGGGCTGCCTACTATCGCCTGCTCTTTATTTTGCTCTCAAACCCCTAGCTGCAGCTATCTGAAACAATCCTGGTGTCTTCTATGCAGGCTACCAATACAAGGCAAACTTTTATGCAGACGATGCCCTCTTGGTCCTAACTAACCCCCTTATTACTCTCCCCAATCTACAGGGAATATTGGATCAATGTTCAGCCTTATCTGGCCTTAGTATTAATTTTTCCAAAACTACGACTTTGAACAGTACTCTCCCCACTGACCTGGTTGAACGGTTAAAGTACAATTCCCATACCGTGGGGCGTCCCATTCCTTAGATTACCTTGGCATTAAACTCACTGCTTTCTATTCTACCTTATTTTCGGCCAATTTTTATCTTTTATTGCGATCTGTGACTTCCCTCCTCAATTCATGTTCGTTCCCCTCTCTGTCATGGATTGGCCGGATACATGCTGTTAAAATGACTACCTTACCTTAAGTCCTATACTTTTTCCGTACCCTACCTATTCATGTCCCTGCGTTTTTTTCTCTCCGTCTTTTACAAAACCGGATTCTCCGCTTTATATGGGCTCACAAGCGCCACAGAGTTCCCAAATCTACTCTATATACTCATAAACTGAAGGGGGGTTTGGGAGTTCCTCATGGTTCCAGATATTGGAAATCTCCCAACTGTCCATGCTCCACGCCACGGCTGATATTCCATTATGGGTACTTCTGGAATTGCCCAATTGTACCCCGATTTCCTTGAATGCATTACTCATTCACATAAATTGCGTCCCCTGGATCTGAGCTCCATTCTGCTTCATAGTCTATGAACATGGGACTCTGTTACATATTCAGGTAACTTAATGTCGCCTTTCCTACCTCTCTTGCCGATCATTCACAACCCTCTCTTCCCCCCTGGATTAGAACATCTCCCCTCTTTCTTTTGGTAGACCTCTCATGGCTTTGTAAACATACACCGTTTCCTAACCACTCATTTATTTCCATCTTGAGAGACCTTCCAGGACACACGAGGGGCCCCATCGCAGGAACATTACCACTATCTGCAATTATGACATTGGATTATGTCCCTACGTTGTGTTTCCACATATCCTTATCGCAAAATGTCCTTTGAATACACTTGCCAACATTCCCCCGGGTTCCCTGGTCTCATTTCTACTCTCTATGCCTCTCTTAACAGTAGGTTTTCTTAAACATCCCTACCTTATGTGACTCAATAGGAGTGAGATCTTGGTTCATCTAT